TTATTTTGAAAGGGACAGAGTGTGGGCGGGGGAAGAGCAGAGATAGAGGGAGACAGAGAATCCCAAACAGGCTCTGTGAGGTCCGGGCACAGAGCCCCGACACAGGGCTCCAACTCATAAAACCCTGAGATCATGACCTGAGCTGAAATCAAGAGGTGGAAGCTTAAGCAACTGAGCCACTGCGGCGCCCCAAATGCATTTGAAAAGCTAAGCTCTTATAAGGCTTCAAGCTGCATCAAGTGAAAAATAGGATTTGGAATTTTTTTCAATAAAAGCTGTAGACACATTCTAAGAACAAATACAACTCAATTTTTCTTTATTGATCTAACTTAATGGCATTATTAACACTTCTATGCTTTAGGAAACACCTGGTCCAGTGCCTGGCATATAGTTTTTGAATAAAAAAAAAATGGGTGCATGTTTTGGTTCCCTTGAATAACAGGCAAGAAAGTACTATGACCATAACCATTTCTCTACTTTCCCTGGACCAATGACTGTTTATCAAAACAGCAGTTTCCTTGGGTTCCTCAAATACTACAGAAGTAGGCCCTGTATTATAAATGAGTGCGAGCTTGAAACAAGTATAAACCGTTACCATTAATGGCGTCCTATCATAAAGCTGCCAGAAACACTGTCTGGAAGCTGCCGCCAGATTCTTGCTTTAAAGCTTTGTAACTAATTACTGACCAAAACAACAATTTTCCTTAAAAAGAGAACTCCCAAAGAGAGTTTCATTTAACACCAAATCTCATTTAAATGACCTCTCCAAGGTCTAATAAAAATAGCAGAGAAAATGGCAATTTACATACATTAAGGTAAATGTTGCGGACTGCAAAAATTGTCAATATGCTACTTGTTACCATTTCAAAAGCATTCATTCCCCATATCTCTTATCTGGATGATGCAGCTTCGAAAGGAATTTCAGGCTGCTGGTTCTAGAAACAAGATGTGGCAGAAAGAGACCCACACGCTTAACGTAATGAGACCAATGGACTTTTTCCTTCTTAAGAAAGTTGACTGACATTTTCAAGGAAAGAGAAGTGAATTCTTTTCTAACTTCTTAAAGAAAACGAACACTAGTCTAGCATTGAATGTTTACATTTAGGCTTGACACGTTAGGAAACTTGAGTTTAACGGGCAAAAACTTAGGAAACATTCCTCAGACAGCACTTAAGGGTTCAGTAAATATTTATTTCTTTAGCATCTAAGTTGAGCTAAATACAAATTGTACATAATAGTACAGGCAAATGATGCAGTGCATAGCGGCAAATCCATAGGATAGTCAAAGGGACACACTGTCCATGGTCTTTGCACCTTACCACTAGATGATAATAAGTCTCATGGCTTATAATCAGTGAAAGAAATAAGAAAGCACATGCTGTTATGGGCCCAGGCAACTAAAAGGAAGCCATATAGGCCAGAACACCCCAATACAGTACTCTAGCTATAAGCCACTTAAACACAAACAGAACACATTCAATTATAATGAGAGCCAAAATATAACGCTACCTTCCCAAGAAAAAATAAACATACCAGCTTAAATAACACACTCCAATCAAAACAGCGTTCGTGAAAAATCTATTATTTATACCTGATTCAAATGCAACAGGTGTTGGCCTGAAAAATGAGCACTGCTTTCGAAAAAGCAACTTGATGTGATGATACTCTGCTGTAAGAGCAAGCACATGGCCTCCTTATTGTCATCATAACTGCAAGCACTTTCTCCCGGGATCTCAAGTTTCCACACGAGGCTAAGCAGTTCTCTTAATGTCCCTGTCAGGCTAAAGACAACTCACTTTTAAGGTCAACAGCTGTTGTGTTTGTTTCATGCTTAACACCAACAGGCAGAACTATGTATCATAGTTTACAAATTGTACAAATGCTCATAATCGCTACGAAGATTTACAAAGCCCTACACCCTATTGCGAATATTAAACACTCAATAAAAACATCCTAACTGTTCAGCTAATTTGGGGAAGCACAAAAACTCCAAAATATATACAGAATTGCCGCTTACTAAACAGACAAAGACTTTCTGCTCCCTTTTATGTAGATTTCTTACTCGCGTTTATTTCTAGTTTAATCCCTGTTTCTCCAAGTTAATAGCTTTGCATTGAAATTTTCAGTGATAAACACATAGGAAAAAAATTAGCAATGTAGAATGTTAGACATGGAAGAGACCTCACAGATCATAAGTGAACCCTCTTGGAGTTGTAATCCTACTTGCTAACAAATCTTCATCTCTGTATAGCTGACAGAACTGAACGAGGAGGTGTGCACGGCTTGACCTCAAGGCTCATCCTATACACTGGGCCTCTGCTTACAGAGAATGTCCTAGCATTGGTCTGAAAAAGCAGGAGACCGATCCTGCATGGAGGTGCCTATTTGAACCTAGGATGGGCAGTTACGATTCTTTCTCAGCTTAATGTTTGTTCCTAGAGGGCATGATTTCTCTTCACCAGGTCTCTGGGGAAAATACGGTGAGTCAGGAACGACTCTTAATTCCCCCAAGTCTTGTAGGTAGCTAAGTACATGCCCTTCCTGAGTTCAAGAAAAAGAGGATAAAGCTGATCAACACATTAGTGATTTTCTAAGCCTGGACATTTCTCAAAGGAGACCCTGAATTTGAATTCTGACGCCAGACCGAATAAAAGACTGGGAAGGCGTTCTGTGGTAGGTTTCAGATTCTCAAGGACAGCCACATAGGTTGTTGGTTTGTCTTTTGAGAGGGCAATACAGCTTTATCTTAAAGTACATCATGATGTGTTCCTGTGGTGCAACACATCTGCACACATTTGGGGGAAGAAATGGGGAGACAGAGTAAGAAAAGGGGAAAAAGTATATATGTATGGAAATTTAGTGCTCTTACCCAATTGTGGACTTGAGTGGTCAACATTTTCTTATCAAGATGCTCTTAAATTAGCATTTTAAAAAGCTCCCTCTCCTTAATGGTCATCTCATATTCCTTGAACAGCTTCAAGGTATATTTAATTCTTAAGACTTATTATCAAAGTTATTTTCCTCAGTCTTATCTCTTCAGTTACGAAATATTTTAGCTCATAAAGGACATTACTGTTATCCTTGTTAACAACTGCTTATATGCGCTATTGGGATTAAAATGTCAATTAAGTAGGTGCTATATGCCTTACTTAAAAAAAAAAAAAAAAAAAAAAAAAAAAAACCTGAAGAGAAAATCCTGCTTTCCTTTTTCTTGTATTAATGGAAGAATATTTTCAATAAATCGTGCTTTACTGACTTATCTGTTCACTTCGAGTATTTCAGACATAAACTTTGCTAAGGACCCCTGTGATCTGTGGTTACGGTTCTACTTCTCCACACTGGGTGGGATTTTATTGAAAAACACGCTGTTTCCAGTTAATACTGGTGGGCGGCAATGACCTCCGGTGGATTCTTGAGGAAACAGCAACTGGGTTTTTCAGAGAACGTTCTTTTTCAAAATATTTCTATCCTTCAGAACTTTTGGAGCTTCATGGCTTAACAAACGAACTTCTTAGACTTTCTTAAAACACTTTTGTATTTGTTAATTTTCAAATGAAAGTATAAGCTATTCCAAGTTCTCCACACCTTAACTTTCTTAATTATATACTCTGCAAGCTAGCTTTGAAAGTTGAAAGGAATATCTAAGTATTTAAATAAACATTCGTAATTGTTTTCACGTATAATTCACTTGTTTTTAATTTTTATTTAAATGAAAAATCTCAACAAAACTTCCTATATTAGAAAGGTAATCACTACATTAAAAGGGGAAGGACGGACTTCAAGAAATACGCATTCTCAAAAACCTTGGATCCTATTTGTAAAAGTAAACGTGCTCTGGATATCTCGGTAGTTAAGTGACCCCGTGAAACAATTTTGTTATTTGTTAACATAAAATAGCGAGGAAAATTAGATATCTGAGCACAAATTGCTTTAATATTTTAAAGACAATAAACATGTTTCTGGAGTGTCCTTTATATTTGAGGGAAGATTATTTAGAAGGCGTAAAATTTAAGTTTTAATAGAGCTTCAGGGCTATAATATCTTCATTTTTGGCCTGTGAGGTAATAAATTATTCATAAACACATTATTTCCATCTTAGAGCATGACATAAGCAGTGAGACATTTTTAAGTTTTTCTTTTTCTTCTGAAAATGGACAGGATGTATTAACAGAAACTGCTTTCAAATCTTTACTAGACAATCTGTAAAAAGAGAAAAAAGAGAATACACTTTTTCTACCACAAGAGGGTAGCAAAAACTTTTTCAGTTAGATTTCTAACTGTAACTTCATCTGTTTTTGGCATATTTTGCTATCTTTCTGAGAAGTTATCTTAATGTCATTCTTTCTGCACTGGAGTGAAATTCAAAGGATGTGTTTTCATCATGAAATGTAACTGTAGAGAATGTGGCTTATTGAATGTTTTATGAAGGGCATGAGCCTCAAGGTGACCATAATTTTTCTTTCATGGTTTACAATAATTTCAACACACCTGGCTTCATAAAACTCATGGTTTAGATACTAATACAAGTTTTGTTTTGTTTTTTTTTTCCCACTAATACAATTCTTAAAAAGTACAGACAGTTCATGTGAGAATGATAAAGTATTTGGTATTCTTTACCTTTTACATCGTAGTGGAAAGGTAGAATTCAGAAAGATTAAAATATATATTTAATTTTCACATGATTATTAACATCTCTAATTTTTCAATATTCCAATAACCATAAGTCTTCCAAGAGAAAATAATAATTGCCATGGAAAAGCAGCCAGGTACTCAAAACTACAGACAAGGTCACTTTTTGATAAATATTGTTTAGAAAAGTTAGTTAACTTTATGTGATTTTTAACCAGTCAAATGAGTACATATAATAATTTATCATAATACCTTCACAGTCATTTCTGTATTACAGAAACCTGTTAAGCGATACGAAGCTGGATGGTTTCTCATTTTGTTTTCGGTTCCAAACATAAATTCTTCAGAAGCCAGGAGACGGTGTCATGCCGTCAGGAGTCCAGCGTGTGCCTGGGCAGGCGATAGTGCTCAGCTTTGGGACGAAGCTTCTTCTCCTGTGGGTTGGCGTACTTCCACTTGGAAGGTGACATTTTAAGCTTTTTCCTCTTCTTATCTGTGCACCAGACCTTTTCACAGTATTCTTCCACTCTCTGGAAGTTGCTATAACCAATCAGCTGTAAGAATTCCTTGTACCATGGTTTTGCCCCCTGTGGGATGATACTCTGGGCAGGACAAGGCATCTTGGGAGGCCCGTCCTCTTCCAAGTCTTTGTGAAACATCTCCTCTACTCTCTCCTCTTCTACTACCTCCAGGGTAATTTTGCGGACGGTATGGACAAAACCATGCTCTACTGTCTGGCAAAAATAGGTCCCAGCATCCATTTTTCGTACCCTAAGGAAGAGTAAGCCGAGGTCCATCTTGACCACTCTGTCATCTGTCTTCACCTGCAAGAACAAGAAAATCAATGGCACTGGAGTATTATCTAGGAGAGAACACCAGCCTATAACCCTTTTATTATCATCAGATTTTTAATTTTTGTTATTACATGATGAAATCCTGAGAGTCATACATACATATGAGAGAGAGCAAGAGAGTGAGAGTGACTGGGAGAGGGGGAATGACTAATTAAATCAGGTGTGTGTGTTGAACTTACTTGAGATCACTTCATATAATGATTTTTGACGTCATTTCACATCAATATTATTAAAAGGCGAGTGAAAGAGCTTTCTCCCTAATGATTTCAATTAATCATTAGAAAAAAATATCTACTTCAGTACAGCACTCAAAGTTAGACTAAAATGAAGATCTATCAAATTTATTTTTTTTCTTAGTAGACAGCACAAATGCCATTTCTCCCGTCAGTAGATCAAGGGTTCTTCCCTGATCATAAAGACCTGGGTCTTCCCCAGATCATAAAGACCAACATTTCCATAAGGATCTCTCTTAAGAGAGGTGAGAAACCTTCACTCTCTTTCTTTACAAAAAAAAAAAAAAAAAAAAAAAAAAAAAAAAAAAAAAAAAAAAAAAAAAAAAAAAAATCATCCACTAAGTGAGCATGCTTATATTTCTACAAGGCTTTCTACTTAACAGAGACTTAAAATCAAGCCAGAAACATCCATATTCTTCTCGGAAGAATTTCACACTCTAATAATTTTAAGTTTGAATATAACTTCAGGACTCAAATACCTTATATTTGTGAAATAATAGGTTATGCACATTATTTCTATAAATTATTACAATTCAAGGTAAGAAGAGCCCAATAAAGCTTTTGATAAACAGCTCGTATCTTATTACCGATAGTTGTACTAGTGAGTATATGATTGCACATTAGACAAATCTAAATTGAAATTTTGGCACTAACTGTGTGATCTGGGGCATTTATGTATATTCTCTTAGTTTTCTTTGTAAAAATGCAGATAATCCAAATGTCACTTGAATGTTGTGACGTTTCCATAAAATAATGTATAAGTGAGAACACTTTGTACAGGGCTATCAACACCGACCTCTACCTTTCCTGTATACAATCTTCTAGCTAAAAACAAACTGGTTTTTGTTTTCAGATGACCCCAGATCATGCCATGATGGTATAAAGGTGACTCACACCTTACTGGCTGATTTCTCCCTTGAGAATACAAAACAAAAGCGATATTCTCCTTTACCAGTATAAAAGGGGCATACGGACAACCAGAACCACTTTGGCAGCAAAGACCATTAAGACAAGCACACTTTTGCCCCAGTGGCAGGTATTGGCAAGACCTGCTGGGCTCACCTTTCCTGAACCTTAATCAGTTCCGGCACGTCCAAAGTTGCAATGTAATTACTCATGTGGACTCATTAAATGAGTCTGTATAATCTGTGAATAATGTGACAAAATGGCATTAGCAGTGTAGTAAGAGATGCACCTCAAATAGGAATGTTAAAGACAAATTATGAGACACTCAGAGGGTTTTTTTTTTCTTCAGCCACGTAGGTAAATAAATTACTCAGCAGCTTTAGAGTGACACAGTTGGGTGAAGGGGCTCCATATATCCTTGATACAGGCTTCATTTAACTTGATAGGACTATGTCCAAGTAGGCAAAACGTTAGCTCCACTAACTCAGGAAGTTCTCCCGTGAGGGATCAGGAAGAGCTGTCATGCCATAAAACACACTACATACGTCACTACATAAAACAGTTGCTTACTTGGTGACAGGTTTTGCTGAGAAAGTATCCTTGGCAACTGCCACAGCCAATACCTCTTAAATGACCTGGAGTCACTGCTCACATTTACCCCTACTTAATCCATAAATTCACCACCATGCCTTGGATGCTTCTGACTCTGAAACACAACCTCCATTGTTTTTAAACTTATGGCTGCATTTGACATAGAGGGACCCACCTTCTTAAACTTTTTTCTGTGTGGTACCTGCCATTTTACTATCTTGGCTCTCCTCTTGGTTCTTTCTTGGTCTCTTAGTGTAGATTTCTCATTCTCTCTAAGGCACAATCCTCTACCCTTCCCTGATCTCATGTTTTATTTGCATTCATTTGGTAAGTCTTGTGTTTCCTCATTTCAACCAGCTTCCCTAAGACAGATCTCACACACAGATTATCCACTGTTTTGTATTTCCTGTTAATTACAAAACACTGACCGAAACTTACACCATCCTTCATTATTTACAATCCAGTGTCTCTCCACACAAACTGCACCTCCCCATTTACTAACTTCCCTATTCCTGACAATTACATTATTCTTCTTCTAGTTCCTCTGTCCTCATGTGTTGTCATACTTCTTACTCATTATTATGCCTTCATAGCCAACACATCACAAATTCCTATCAACATCTCTTCTGTGGTGATGGTGGGAAACATTCATTCCATTTCACCATTTTCCCACGTTAGACTTTCCCATGTTAGGCTCTTCTATTTTGTGACTGATTCTTTGACTTTATCTCCCGGTAGATTCCTCCCAAATCTTCCTGCTTTCTGTGTCTGCTGCTATGCCCAGCTTGATTCTGTTTCGGGACCTATGCTGTTGTACCTGCCTGTAGGGACTTCCCCACTGCTGGTTCCTTATTGGAAAAGACTGAATGAAAATGTCATCTCTTCAAACAGGCCTCCCTCACAGCACTGTAAGATTGTACTCCTTCCCTTATTACCACCATGTCATCTGTTAACCTTTCTACAAGTTATGCAAAATTACCTGCAAAAAAGAACAAGTCCTTCAAGTAAGTTTCTTTTGACTAATACCTTTCCCCTTTATTTCAACAAATGTGTATTATTTTACTCTGTTTCAAATTTCACTTCCTTTTATCATGCTTATTCAGATTCTATTGCTTGCCCAAGCAAGTGAAAATTGTTCAGTTAACCAGATCCTGCTTTTTCTTTTTTTAGAGAGAGAGAGCAAGCAAAAGAAAGAGAAAGCAGGGCAGAGGTGCACAGGGAGAGAGAATCTTAAACAGGCTCCATGCTTAGCGTGGAACCTGACACGGGGCTTGATCCCATGACCCTGGGATCATGACAGCCGAAATCACGCGTTGGACACTCAACTGACTGAGCCACCAGGTGCTCCCAAATCCTGCCTTTCTAAATCCGTATTCCAAAACAGCTTACTGCAGTGTTTCTCATAGGTTTGGTGGAATAGGTACGTTTCTGGTGATCAATCAGTTTTATACAAAGACTTCGACTATTGTGTTTAGTTTTCATGATAATGTAAATTAATAAACTGTATTTGGGATCGTGGGGAAGATCAACTTCATTGTTAGTATTGGTGTTTATCATAGATTCTGAACTATTTTCAAAGCTTTAACAGTTTCCAGCTGCTGAGAACAAAGATGAATGTAGTATGTTAATGATACGTTCCAGCCAGATGAAAACCAAACAACATCCCGATGTAGTAACGTACATAAAAAGTTTTGAAGTCACTTGTATCAAGTGTTAGGGGGATTGAGTCATCACACAGCAAAAAGTGCTCCAGGCAGATGTTTTATACACTCATGGACACACACACATATATAGTTGTCTGTGTCCCATGTTATGTTCATGGAGATGCCTTATTTCAGTGAAAAAAAAAAAAACACATTAGATAAAGATTAAAAAATGCAAGTATTTATATCTTATTCGTGAATTTATTTTGTTTCTACATTTGAATAAAAGTTACAAGCAAAAATATGCACTCGTTTTATTCTTGTGCATATTTAATAAACATTTTAATATAAATTTTGCCAGCAGCACAGGACGTTTTACATTCAATGGCACAAGGTGGGAACAACCTGTAGATACACCAGAGTCAAATCTTCCTCTTTGTAACTCCTGTACTCATTTCCTTGTAGTGCCCCTTTATCGCTTCCATGTCTTATTCTAGTCTTACCCTTTCTTTCTGATAGCGAACTCCCTTATACTGTCTACCAATCCACTTTTTAAAATTTCTTTCCAAGTTTACATTTTCATTTCTTAATGAATATTTTCTTTTCAGCCAGATAGATCTCATTTCTTTTTGTAATTCACTAAGCTTTCACATTTGTAGCACACAAGCTGGTATTTGCTCCTCTTCAAATAATTTTGTGATGCAAGTTTTTTCCTTTAACCATATGACAAGTTTCATAAGAACAAAGGTCTATCTCTTATTCTAAATAGTCCATAATGAGTAGTGTGCTCAGAATACAGAGAAATGACAACATACTGATTAGTCCAGAGTGTGCAAGAATGCAAGACAATGGGATATCCCAGTAACGATATATCCAGAAGTTATTCACTTGTGGATTTACTCCAGAAGTAAATCCAATAAGGATTTAGACAGGAAGGAAGCAAAGATGATTTGAGGAGCAGTTAGTAACTATTGAAAGGGCTATGCTTTGGAGATATAAATAGGAAAACCACTTGTAGGACACTGTTTTCACCTGAAAGGAATCTGTATACCAACACCCTCACTGAATACGATCCTTTATCTTCTCCCTACTCTATATCCTGTGCGAATGCAAATATGAAAATAGGAAAGTCATCTATCCTAGTTTCTGGCATATACCAACCAGTTTATGAAAGTGTTCTAAAATAAAACAAAAAGCAGAAATGAAGATAAATACAAATCCTTGACCACTGGATTAGGAGTGCTTATTTTTTCAAGCATGTATTTCTTTCAAAATCAGAAACCCAACTTGAGAAACACCGCACTGTGTATATATAAAGTCCACACTGGTTCAAAGATGTGGAGGCATGACAATTACAATGGGAGGTGTCCTACATCATTTATTTGCACATTGGAGATAGTTCCTGTCTCAGAATGTAGGTCTCCCCTCTTGGTTATGGTGTTAGAAATTGAGAAATAAAAGACACTTCAATTCTGAAATCTGGACGGCTGTATGCTATATGGACGTTAAATCGCCTTGAAAGTTAAATGTATCTTCCATAGCCTATGGATACCCAAAAATAAAAAAATGACTTAGAAATTTGTATTTGAAATCCTTC